GCTGAGGTCCACTACTTCTCACTCAGTGAAGCTCTTTTCAGATTAAAAATACCTTTGAGGAAATATATTTTCAGATGCTAAGTAAACTGCATCATGGCCCGTGCGTGAACCCTCCGCACTGAAATGGGCAAAACAGAAGCAGAAGGAGGTTCTTAAAGAGACAGAGGCCAATTTCAAGGCATTTAGAAGAGGACGTGATTGGAAAATAAGTTTATTTTCTATTTAAACATAAAAACAGCATTTTAATAACAGCTAAAGGTGACATAGATACTTTATTATGGTATAGTATTTAAATACATGCCTGAGAAACACATAATATTGGCCCTTTAAAAAGTATCAAATTCGTTACCCATCCCTAGTTGTAGATCAACCATTACCATTCAAAACTGTTCACAAAATGTTTTACTAAAACACATAGTTATTGATAACATCTAAACAAAGATCTGGTATTTTGTTAGCTCTGAACAGTGTGTATAAAAAGTATTCACCTCCTGAATGGTTTACTCTTATTACTATTATAACTCAGTCATTGATTATATAAATTGGCCTTTTTGACAAAAATAAGGAGTGATTTTTGCTTCATTTGTTACAAATTTAACCCTGTTTATGTAGTCCATCCCTTCATGTGTACCAACATCAATTCAAATATTTAGATAAGAAAAAAGCATTTGTTTTCGTGTAACTCCATACTAATAACAGTCACAATAAAAATGACTGCTGAAGAAAAACAACCAGTGCTACCTTTACAGACAACAAACTTTTAAACGGACTTCAAAAGCCTCAAGAACAGAATTTAATTGACTCGGCACCATTTTCCAGGTGTTTTTAGGTACTTTGGGGGAACTTCTAAAAGGTTTAAGTGGCTGTTCTAATTCTACTCAGACAAAAATGAGTGAAAACTAAAAGTCAGGCTGAGTCCAACGTGATTTCTAAGATCCTAAACATTCCAGGAGCTCTGGCAAATCCATCATGAAGAAACAAAAGGAATATAGGGATGTGTAAATTTACTGCTCGTCCTCATAAACTGAGTGAAGAAGGAGAAGAAAGACCACCAAGACTCCTGAGACCAGGGTCATGAGTGGTCCTGATGGGACAGTTGTGGGTTGTGTGTGGCTTGGACGGCACTTGTGTCTGAAGTTGGACCACTGGGGCAGGGACATGTCCTGGAGCTCAGAGCACAAGCAGCTCTGTAGATCTGCTCTAACTGAGCAGCAGTCAGAAGGGTTGTGGGTCCGCTCACACCACAGTTGTGAGTCGGTACAACAATGCTGCCAAGAGTGTTTCCATCGGTGAGTGACAGTCTGTCTTCTTCAGAGCCTTCCAGATCCAAACACTGCCCACAGTCAGAGACTGTGAGGGAGGTGGGCAGTGGTTTGTTCCAGGAGGGTGTCCGTTCTCAGACAAACTCTGGGAACATCAGCAGATGGTTTTTGATCGTGGTCGGCTCAGTGAGGAGATGAAACGTCGCACACTGCAATGTTTTTTGTGTTGGCAGGTGACAGGGCCACTCCTAGACCAGTTTTTCATCTGCACACCAGAATGAAGAGAAAAAAAGACATGTGGTCCTGGTCCACAGGCCCAGTACCTTAACTGAGAGGCATCTTCTCCTTTTTTCAGCTAACCCCTCCATTTACTGTATTTATTCATGTATAACACAACCTTTTTACCTTACACCTTTTCTGCAGGTCAAAACTTTTAAAAGTGAAGATTAAATGAACTAAAATAAAGTAGAAATATTGTTCTAAAATACAAACTACTGCCACAGAAATCCAGTATAAATCTGTTCAACCACCATCAGCTCAGTCACAATATGAAAGGTAAAAGAATGAGGACTGTGTGTATTTAATTCATCTTATCTGCGTTAAAACATTTAGGTGGAGTCTTGTTGTTTTTGAGCTGTAACAAAGTGTTTACCTGTGCTGGCAGGGGTCAGTTTAGGAGGGGTGGGCTCTGTGGGAGTGGTCTTGCTGGTGCTTGGGCTCAGCAGCTTCACATAATTAGCTGGAAACCAACCAATCTGACGCTTTTTCCCTCGAGCCTGGATCAGTGGATCACAGCATGCAATCAGATATCAAACACTGCGTTTAGTTTGAAAAGTCATCAAACTTTAGGCAACTCTAAAAGTTTTCTGGATAAAACTTTGAACAGGACATGACAGTAAAACTTTGTACATTTATCTACTGATTAGCAAATTGTTTTTCAAAATTTTTATTAAAGTGATCCCCGATTAGTTGTAACATTAGACTTTATTTGATAAACATTTATTTTAACTGTAAAATAAAGACTGTAAAAATACTGTAGGTTGTTTAGTTTTGTAAATTTTTAAAAATATATTTTAACACGGACGGAGACATTTTATTTGCACACAAAGCATTCTGGGTAAATGATGACGTTGATAGGTCCTCGGTGCGAGGCTGCTAGCGAGCTATATCCACCCTGAAGGTTAATCTTGGACAATATCTGATGATCGACTCTTTTAAATGAAACCAGAGAGCGTTGACAGAGAGGAGAAGGTAGAAATGACTCAGCCTGTAACTGAAAATATGGATGGAGGACAACAGAGCTGCTTCATGGAAGAACAACCTCAGATCAGCCCGTTAGCCTTTGCGCTAGTGCTGACGCTATATTGCCTTATACGTATGTATTAGCTTGGCGCTAGTGCGACAAACAAGCTAAACTGTTGTCCTCCATCAATATTTTCAGTTCCAGGCTGAGTCATTTCTAGGGCTGTGTATTGGTAAAAATTTGGCGATACGATATGATCATAACAGAGGTGTCACGATACGATATATCCCGAAATATTACGATACTGTAAGCAAGGCGATATATTGCGGTATATTGCGATTTTTTTGTCCAAAAATTCTATTAAATAAAAACCTCTTACTGGAAAAAAAGAAAAGAAAAGCTAATGTTTACTCACAGTGCTAATGCTACCCTTACTCTGGCACTCAAGAGGTAGAGGAGCCAAATGTCTGGCTCACTGCTGCCAACTAGTGGTCAGAGGCTGAACTACAACATAAAAATGAACGGTTGGCAGGAAAGTTGACATTTTAAACCTTAATAAAAAATCGATACAGGGCTTTAGAATATTGATACAGTATCGGGAAATGAAATATCGCAATATTTCAGTGTATCGATATTTTCTTACACCCCTAGTCATTTCTACCTTCTCCTCTCTGTCAACGCTCTCTGGTTTCATTTAAAAGAGTCGATCATCAGATATTGTCCAAGATTAACCTTCAGGGTGGATATAGCTCGCTAGCAGCCTCGCACCGAGGACCTATCCACGTCATCATTTACCCAGAATGCTTTGTGTGTAAATAAAATGTCTCTGTCCATGTAATATATTTTTTAAGCTTTTAGTTTAAAAAGTATAAAAACTAAACAGCCTACAGTATTTTTACAGTCTTTATTTTACAGTTAAAATAAATGTTGATTAAATAAAGTCTAATGTTACAACTAATCGGGGATCCCTATAATTATTCTGATATTTAGACTTATTCAACAACTTCTATTTACCATCATGCAGAACAACAATTAAGCAAAGTTCCCTTGAGTATAGATTGATTATTGGTTAAGTCTTTAATGACACAGGAGAGCTGGTCTGATAAGATCCTAGGCTCTTTTTAACCTCTCCTGTACAGCTGCGTTTTTACAGTTTTTATATATTTCGATGTGCAAATAAAATAAAATTTAAAAACAAAGAGAGAAATTTGTCTAAAGCCAGTTTCATGAGGCACTGGTGTACCTGGAGCTCTCCCTCCCACCAGCCTCCAGGGTTCTTCTTCCTGATGAGGATGAGCTGACCCGGAGCTAACGTCAGCTGCTCTGCTCCTGTCGCCGTGTAGGCAGCGATCACCTGAGCAATCTCTGAAAAACCAAGAAGACTGGCTTCATCTCACTCCTCTACTGTTGATCATTTACAGGTTTGAGGCTTTCATTTCAGCTACTAAACATCATGAAACGATGGATTTTATTAAATAAAGCCAATAAATAAAGCTGTCAAAGTGAGGTTTTACTAAGCAAAGACTCACCTGGTTTCTTGCCCAGACTTCCTGTTTTCCCTGCTGCTCCCAGTGACTGCAGACAAACATTTACACATCAGCAACACTTCCCTCCTGAGACGGTTCAGAAGCATCTTTACAACGAGCGCTCACCTCTGAGGACGAGTCACATGGCTTAACGTAGTTGGATGGAAAGACTCCGGTCTTCCCCCCGACCGTGCCCGTCCACCAGTCCCCCTCTTTCCTGCTCACCAGGACGATGTCCCCCTGCTGGAAGCTCAGGTCCCCCTGTTCAGTGCTCTCATAGGTGTACATGGCAACGTAGTCTGTGGCAGAGGGAGAGACTCATGAAGTTCACACAGGAAACCCTTCAGCAGCTGGGAAAGCTGGGCAGCTGTTACCTTCTCCAGTCTCTGAGGGTTTGGTTGGAGAAGCTGTTGGTCGTTTTCCATTGGGGGGGCTTTCTGGTAACCCAGATTCACTGATGGAAACAAGAATAAATAAAAAGACTGAAATAATGACCTCCATTTTTATAAAACTAAATTAAATCAGGTCTTAATTTATTTACACCTATTTTTACAGACACTGAGCTACACATGCTCTGAGTACTAGAGTCAACCCTGTCTGTTAGCAAAATATCTGAAGAACCACTGGACTGATTTTAGTTAAACTCTTCAACAGTAATCACTGGATGTAAATCTACAACTGAGTAACGTCTGGAGCCAACCTGATTCAAGATGGCTGCAGGAGCTAACAGACCTTAGCAGAAACAAGAGTGAATAATTCCTTCGGTGTAGGGCTGAAACGATTCCTTGAATAATTTGATTACAAGAAATCCCCGAGTCAAATTTATCTGCCTCGAAGCTCCGTAAAAACACACACTGTTGTAATCAGCGCACTTTAGTCCGGCCAGAACGTTATTTGTGTTACACACAATGCTACGACGTTAGCTCTTCTGCTAACAGTTACACTGTCGACGCGTGTATGCTTGCTAAGCGCTATATTTAGCTTTAGAAGACAAAGAGTGCTGAAATGAAGCGCTCAGAAAACGACAAATTAAAAAAAGGTCATGGGAACATTTAAAACTAAACAGAAAAGACGACAACGCTCTGCACATCCTCGATGTTTCTGCACCGCAACAAAAACAGCTGCTGAGGTACCGAAGTGTCCAGAGTTAACAACAGGTGTTTGTTTACGTTCCCTTTGCAAAATACGTTTACCTCAATCTGTGATAATCTGTCAGATTACAGATGTACAAGGAGGAGGTATATTTAAGCTAACGTTATTTGTGCTGACTAATCATGGAGACCTGGCAGGGATTATTAAACAGTGTGTAAGTTGTGTGATTAAAAACAAGACTTCTGGAAAATAATTATAAAAGCATTGGATCAATTAATTCCTTTAAAAAATGATCAAAGCAAAAATAGTTAAAGAAAAATGAAATTGTTTAATTTGTATTTGTATGATCATCACATCATGAATTTTTTGTTCAATGTGAGGCAACATTCCTTCAAGGAAACGTTAGTTTTAACTTGTAACAGTGTTTCCAGGCAGAAGATGGCGCTGTCGTCTGAACCTTACCTGGTGGTTTTGGTGCGGGTTCCAGCACCAGCAGGACCCGTCACGTTGGCTGAGATGAGTTTGACGTAACTTTTGGGGAACCAGCCTCTCTGTCCGTTCTGAAGTTCACCCAACCACCACATGTCCTGCTGCTCCAGCACCGTTATCACCTGCACGCAGCAAACATGGCTGTAAACGTCGGGTCATTAAAGTACAAACAGGGCGGAGGCACATCTGGAAAAGTCTCCACCTCATTTTTGTTGAAGTTCAGGTGGTTGTCCTTCTTGGCTCTCCAGGGATATAAAGCCTGAGCCTGAAGACCTTCCACCTTCTCTCCCTGTCAGACACATGAGGATTACAGACAGGAGCCGTGTTTCCAGAATATTTTTATTCGAAATTTGAGCAAATTTTTAAAATTTTGCAAAAAAAGAAAAAACAAAGAAATGCGAATCAGACGTGTTTCCATCAACTGGCTTGAAGTGAAACAGTTACATCAGACGCATGTGTGTAGTAAACAGGAAGTAAAAGTTGCAAATCTAAAGAAAATGGAGAGAGTTTATCAGGAACGTGTTGTACTATCAGAAAATTATAATTATTCTGTCATCAACTAGTTCTGCTGATGTTACTGCTGTGTGCAGACGTAGAGAAAGAAGTGCAGTTCTCTCAAGCAGCTTCTTCAGTTAAAGCCGTCGCTCAGTGGAACGCTGCTCCTCATCATGTAAAAAACTGTAGTTTTTATTAGTTTTAAAAATAATCTTAAAAAGTATCTTAAACCTACTCAGTGTTGCAGTCACTGAATCACACTGGGTAATCAGTTCTAGAGTTTGGTTTTGGTTTGGGCCAGTTGCGAGGTTTTGTTGAATGTTTAGTGATTTAACCTTTTAATTGTGTTTGGAGAGTGGGGTGAGGTGTTTTATGTATTTTTAATTGCAAAATATTTTAATCCATGTTATTTTTATTTTTCTGTTTTTTTCCTCTGCTATTTCTATTTTACTGTTGGATGTTGTTTTGTTTTTACTGTTTGAAGGAACTACAGATGTAAATACATTAGCCTTAGGCTAAATCTGGTGCAATGCATCAAATTATGTTATAACTGTACACTGTCCCAAATAAATAAATAAATCATTCATTCATTGTTTACGTTAAAAGAATAAGTTAGAAGATGCCGACAGTGGGAGGAGTGTCCAGCTGCAGTCTCTCTGGTGCCGTTCAGACAGTGAGAACAGCTCATCAACATGTAAGGTAAATGTTTACTACATCAGAACTGAGTCAACAAATGTGTTTCCATCTCTCCTTCTGCACATTAACTCTTTTTCAAAAAACCCAAAAACCACCTCAAGCCAGTGTCTCAACTTTTATGTGAATTAGAGGAAGTTTTTTTGAATCGAGCATTAAAAGACCTTGATGGAAACACAGCTGGTGTTTCTGAGCTGCACTCGTTTCTTTCATCAAAAATGTGCTGTTTCCTACCTGTCCCAGCACAGGAGAGGGGGAGGAGCCTGTGGTCATGGTAGCTGGCGTGAAGGCAGAGCGCTGTCGTAGCTGAGCGGACGGAACGCTGAGAGATGGATTCTGATTGGCTGAGGAGGTTGGCCATGCGTCCCAGCCCTCACTGTCTGATTGGCTGGTTGTGTTGGAGGGCCACCTGCAGGTTTGAGGAGGTCATCAGACGAACAGGAACAGGTTCTCACCTCACACAGTGAGCACCTCACACACTTACGTGGTGCTGAAGTCAGCCCAGTTACTGTTGGCAGATGATGTGGAAATGGAGCTGTGTCCGGGAGCTGGAGGGGGCGTGGCTACGGGTTGATGGGCTGAAGGGGGCGTGGCTGATGATGTGGAATGCAGGCTGACTGGCGCTTCACTCTCAGGTATCCTCTCTGCGTAGTTAGCTGGAAACCAGCCGGTCCTGCCTCGGAGCTCGCCGCCGAGCCACCCGGGCTCACCAGTTTGAGACTCATCAACCTATCAGAGCAAAGGGGCGGGGTTTCAATCATTGCACGAACACTCTTCAACTACTGCCAATGTTTGAACCAGGAAGAAGTGATGAGGAGCAGCAAAATAAAAGATTTATTTCTTAAACAAAGCGCTTGTCAGGAGGATGATGAACCCCTGCTGCTCCTGCTGCTGAGAGCCTGAGGAGTTGTTAAATGATCAGCCTCTCAGTATAAATATAGTCCTGACTGTCCTGTTCATTAAAACTAGAGTTGGGCAAAAAAAACTATTATCAGAAAAACTTTAATCGATTATTTGTTGGCACTTGACCATTAGTATTAATGCCAGCAGGCTGACTGACTGGAGCTTTCCCCGGTGTGTTCGCTGCTCCTCTACGCTTCAAATATGACCAACATTTAAAAGAAAAGTTCTTTAATTTATTTATCATAACTCTGGTTTTACTTATCAACACAATTTAAAATTTGATTTATAGCCTGAAGTCTGTACTTTTGACACAAATTGGAACAGACTTTTACGGAGAGTAAATCTTTCCCACTGCAGTGATTTAAATTGGTCATATAAAAAGGGCATGCAGGTGTCCAGGTGCTCCATTAATCGTCATATTAATCATTATTGGCTAAATACCACAATTAATCGTGATTTATTTTTTTTGCCAGTATCGCCCAACTCTAATGAAAACACTCCATTCATCACTTGAACTGAAGTGAAGCCATGACATCTGGATGATGTCGCTGCCATGTTGTAGTTTTGGAGCCAGAGTCAGAGAATTAGGGATGTGGGGCTGAAAGTCCCGCCTACTTCTGTCAAACTAACATTTGGACGTGTTGCAGTGAGGTAACACATTTAAATAACAGAAGTTAACACTCGCAGATAAAAATAATGTGAAGTCTATTTTTATTTTTCCATTAGAAAAATGTCCCGTTTGTTTACCACTAGGGGAGGCTTTGTGTTTGTTGTTGTTGACTTATGTCCAGTTCATCATGCAGCCTGTGAAACTGAACATATCACCTGTGTTCACAGTCATGAGGGTCATGTGAGGAGCAGTAATTATTTTAACATAAAACTATTCTAACAAAGTTTGTGTTCATTTTTTATTGTTTTATGACTGGACTAATTATTTAAATGAGAGATATATAACGCTGTGTTCACACTGAACGTGTTTTGAGCGCCAAAAATACAAACGCTTCACGTTGGATGATTATGAACTTTGAGATCAGACACTTGTCACATGTTGGGTAAACGTTTCACTCTGCAGCCATGAGATGGCGCTCTAGGCTTGAGATTACTGCAGTTTGTGTTGTTCTGTTGTTGTTTGTTGTTGTTAGCAGAAAGTTTGGAGTGAATGAGTAACTTGTGAAGGACTGGCAAAAGGCAGTCCCCAGGTGTGACTTATCTATGGTTTGTTCTTCTTCATGGCACATTTTTTGCATGATGCAACTTATAATCCAGTAAATATGGTAATTCATAATTAATTCACCAGATAATTCAGACACGTTCTGAGTTTGGTGAGTTTCACCACTGCAGGAGCTGTGAGCTGACGAGGCTCCCTACAGAACTGTTTCTGTCCCGGGCTCAGTTTGATGATCTGCTGACCCTCATCAGTGTCCACATCTGCCAGGACACTGACTACAGGACCTCCACTTCAGCTGAAGAGCTCCTGACCAGCTGTCTCAGGTTAGTGGGCCTCCTTCAGGAAACTGTCCAGTTGTATAACGTGTCACTACATCACACAGTAGAGTCTCTCTGATTGGTTGAAGCTCCACATCCAGCTAGAAAAGTTCAGATGTTCCAACTCCAGCATCTGACACTTTGGACGCGTCACCTTAGACCTGAGATTCTTAACCTATGGGCCGAGGGCCAATTGTGGTCCACGAGCGCCACCTTGAGGGCCTCAAAAGAACAACAGTTTTTAACTTTGGGCCGCAGAGGGCCGTGGGACAACATTGATTTTGAATAAGGTGTAATACACTTTCTCACCACTAGTAGCAGTAGTGCACCACTCAGATGTTTAACAACTTTTTTAATATGTAGAAGAAGAACCTTAGAAACCTGCTGAGAATGGAAACTTATTTTAAATGAAAAGTAGAAGCAAAAATGAAAGTAACTCATCAAAAAACACCAAAGTTTGTCACTAATATGAAGAGCAGCTTCTGTTTTTAACATGTAATATTTTAAAAGTTCAAAACATTATCAAATACAGTTGCAATACAATTATATTTTTATTTAATTTGCACTTTAAATTGATTTTTGTAGTTTATTTTTAAACATTTTGAATGTATTTTAAAGAAAATTTAAACTTGCAAAAAGCTGTTGTTACTGTTATTGTTTGTCACTAATATGAAGAGCAGCTTCTGGTTGCAAAATGTAATATTTTAAAAGTTCAAAACCTTTTCAAATACAGTTGCAGATACAACTATATTTAGGCCCGAGCAGCTAAGC